GATCTTGGATTTTCAGATTAGGGATGCTTAACATGCATAAAACAATGATCCTGTATAAATCTAGCGCACAGTGCTCAATTCCCTTTTCTGTAAAGATAGTATTCTATTTTAAATGTACCTTGGCAAAACCAACAAAATATATAAAGCAATTTTCCTTTAAGACAAAGCAACCTGAAGAAATGCAGTAACTTGTTATTGCTTTAGGAAGATTTTTGCTAGCTGAAACACCCACCTGAGATGAATGAGTCATTCAAAAGAGATTATCTATAAACACTTCTACCTTGCTTCCAAGACCTCATTTCAAACATGGAAGAAAACTCATGACATCTTTGAAATTCACAATTTCAGATGGCACACTGATAGCTGCATGGAACAATTAGATACACCTGAATGGGATGACATAAATATTGCTCACTCCTTTGGTCAGTGAATTATGTCAAGATATTTTCTGGGGAATAAAGCATTTTAACTTTAAATATTTAAAAACATGAGATATTCAAAATTAAAGTCCCACCACCACATTCCTCTGACAAGCTTTTTTGTAAGAATTTAACTTAAAACGCAAAAGAATATGATGCCATTCACATGGAATGTCCAGCATGGGAACTCTGCAGAGATGCAAAGACAGAAGGGTGATAGCTAAAGGGTATGGAGTTTCTTCTGGACATGAAGACTATGTTCTAAAATCAACATGGTGATGGTTACACGATTCTGAATACAGTAAAAACCATGGAATTATAACTTTAGGTGGCTGAATTATGCACTTAAATGTTTTGAAGGAAATAGGGCTGCATACTTAAGAAAAAAAGGGATCTTGCTAGGTGGACATATAAGCAATCCTACATGAGTATATAAATACTATGAAATGAATAGTTACTGTTCATTTCTACAGAGTGAAGAAAGTTATTGTCCTCAGAGGTAAGGCCCTAGAGAATCAATGCTGAAGACTTTTTAAAAAGAGTACTCCTTAATTCTCCACCATTATGATAATACAAATTCATTGGCTTCAATAATGGAAAACTTAGCCAGGTGCAGTGGCTCAAGCCTATAATCCTAGCTACTTGGGAGTGGGAGATTGCAAGGATCTTGATTCGAGGCCAGCCTGGGCAAAAAGTTCACAGGCAACCCTACCTCAACCAACAAGAAGCTGGGTATGGTGGTGCACCTGTCATAAGAAGCATAAATAGGAGAATTTCAGTCCAGGGCAGCCCAGGAAATAAATGAGGAGACTCTATTTTAAAAATACCTAAAGCAAAAAGGGCTGGTGGCATAGCTCAAGTGGTAGAGCATATGCTCAACAAGTGCAAGGGCCTGAGTTCAAAACCCAGTACTGCCAAAAAAGGGGAAAACTTCAATAGACATACTACAGGCTTCAGATCAGACACTGGTGTTATTTTCACTACCAAGAATAAGATAAAGGTTTGGATAGACATGCACGTACTTGGTACAAGCACTCCCAGAAATTCAAGGAATTGTCTAGAATTTGTTGTTCCCATGCAGCACTTTACTCCCTCAGGGGGCCAAGGCCCTGATCAACTGCAGAGGTAACCTGCTCTCTCCTCTCTCCAGGCCTTTCTCGAAACCCAGCCTCCTTCTTGACTCACACCAGTTCCAAATGTGGATGGGCCCTGCAATCCCAGTCACCTTCACATGACCTCTTCCATGAACCACAACCTCCCTCCCTCCACGCCAAACTCGCCCTAGCCCCTGTTCCTGCCCTGTGTCCAGACACCAACTGCCCACAAGAGCATGCACAAAGCACTTGCAACCTGCAACAGTTGCAATGTCCCAAAGCATAAAGGGCCTGAGCAGTGGAAAGTGAGCAAGAGGACTCTGTTCCAGAGAGTGAGGACTCCTGTAGTGTTTAATAGCCACACAACCAGACATCCTTGCGTCAGTAGACGAGCATGAGCCTCAGATGGCCCCCTCTTCCTAAAAAGCTCAATTGAGACACAAGACTGGGGGGTACAGCTCAGTGGTACAGCATGTGCTTAGCATGTGTGAAGCCCTGGTTTCATCCCCAGCACCACAAAAAATATAGACAAAAGAGAGAAGCAAACAAACTGAGATAAACCCTCCATTTCCCTGCCTCTAAAAAAGTACCATTAATCTTTTCTGTTAGAAAATTAATTTCTATTAGAAAATTAATCTTATAGATTAATTCTAATCTATTAGAATTAATTAGGAAAAAAGTCCTTTATCAATTCCCTTTAATGAAAATATTCCCTCAAATACTTCATCAACTTTCAGCAAACATTCACAGCCAAGATAAAAAGCCTTATTTTTTTAAAAATCAGTATCTTTATAAACTTGATGTTAGTATCATTAAAGTACTAAGATACCATGGCTCATCATTCTGTAAAATCTTTAAACTCTAATGCTAAACTTTGTAATCAGTTGCTAGTAACTACAAGTCACTGGAACCCATTTGGGATTCCTATTTAAACACACAGTGGAGGTAAATCAAACACCCAAAGGCTTTTTGGAAATTTATGTTCATAATATAAACCATAACGCAGAAATTGCAATTATAATACTAACATGATATATTGAATGAATCCAAATATATGCTTATACAAGGTTCTAAACAGTTTAAATAGTTGGAATGTGCCTACTTTGCCTATCCAACTCACTGTCAATCCCATACTTATGAAAGAGCACTACAGGTAGCCACTGGAATCCTCTAACAATAAAACCAGTCTTGAATACAGAGCAAATATTGAGGACCTATTGCCTAAGCTCCTAAAAATCTTCACCTTCCATAGAAACTAGGGAATTTAAACAAAAACCAAGACCCCTATTTTATTCTCCCAGCTTTAAGCATGCAGAAGTGGGAGACCAAAGCTAAAGGAATTAATAGCAAGTAGGCAAAATAGTTTTTGAAAAAACACTAAAGTTTAAAAAAGAAAAGTAACTTTTTAATTCCATTTAATTACAGTATTTGTTTATCTTTAAAAAAAAATAATCTTTGCCTTAGGCCTCCTGGTACTTACCACAGGCTGTGTTCTCACACTGCCTGTGAGACCCCAGGCAGACCCCAGGCCTAGTCTATACTATGAATAATGATCATCATCTTTGTCTTTTAAAAAGCAATTCAGTAGAAACATACAAGAAAGCAATGCTGGATTCAAAGTGGTGTTAAGTATATTCAGGCTGGAGAAGTGGCTCAAGTGGTAGAGCACCTGCCTAGCAAGTGCAAGCCCCGGAGTTCAACCCCCAGTACTCCAAAATAAAAAAGTATATTCGCAGAGTTGTGCAACCAGCATCCCAAAATGAAAGCCTCAGCACATTTACAGTCCCTCTCCATTTCCCCTAATCTCTTCCTTCCCCAGGAACCACCAATGATGTTTGTGTCTTTATAGATTTGCCTCTTTGGGATATTTCACATAAATCAGTTCATACACTGTGAGGCCTCTTACGACTGTCTTCCTTCACTTAGCACAATGTTTTCAAGGTTCATTCACATTGTAATGTGTATTTCATTCCTTTTTAAGCCCAAATAATATTCCACTGCATGGATATACCACACTTTACTCCTTTATCAGTTGATGAACATCTGGGTTGTGTCCACTTTTGGGTCATCATACATAGTGGTTGCTATGAACATTTGCATATAAGTTTTTATGTGGGCCTATGTTTTCATTTCTCTCAGTTACATATACCTGGGAGTAGAATGACTGGCTCATATGGTAACTTTGCCTTGAGCCTTTTGAAGAACTGCCAAAGCACCATTTTCCATTCCCATCAGCTAGGTATGAGGGCTTCAATTTCCCCACATCCTTGCCAATTCTTGTTATCTACCTTTTTTTTAAATTAGAGCCACCATAGCTTATGAAGTGGCAATTCACTGTGGTTAATGTTCTGCATCTCATTGTGAAGTGAGGACTCAGCTATTCTAAGCTGCACTTTTTAAGTATGTGTTCAAAGGTCATTCTTAAAACCCAAAATAAGACCATCACAACCTAGTACTCCCTTAATAAATAAAGGTATCACCACTTCATAACTCTGTCAAGCAATAATAACATCCAACAGCCAGACCTTTCTAAGGGAAGCATCGGGCTAAGCATGCAACGACAAAGTTTTAGCCAAAGCTTTCAAGAAAGAACACTGGATCAGAATTCAAGTTTATCAATAATCTATGTGTAAGCTCAACAATCGCTGAGCTTCCCTGCACATGGTGTCTCAACAGCTCACAGAACTGCATCCTCTAGAGTCACTCCCAGACACATAGTTGTCTAAGCCTGAAAGTTTAATGAAATGTGAAAAATATACTACCATTCTCACAGTGGAAAGAATTTGTTTGCTAGTCAGTCAGAAGGTGGCTCAGTTTCAGCTTTGCCATTTAGTAGCTATGTGGCCATAGGCACATTATTTCACATCTTGATGCTCCAGCTTTTGGGACTACAGCTAACAAAGCCTGCTCCATGAGGTGATGGAGATGCATTAAGCTGGTAGAGTCTAGGCATCTGACACTGCGGCCAGCAGAAAGCAGACACTTCACTGTTCCCTTCAGTCCATCTTTCTGCTAACTTGGGCAAAGTTTCTCAGCAAATAAAGACCTCTTAACAAATGTGATGGGCCAATGAAAACTGAATGTGAATCCTTGTGACCTGTGTGAGTCCCTTATGAAGCTCTTCCCCACATTATAGACTGCAAACTGCTAAGGAGAAGTATCAGGGGGGGTTAAAAAGGAGATTATCGGGGTTCTTGGACGGCAATCCAGGGGAAAAAAGATAAAAGACCCCACTTTTGTAGGTGACACTAGAAAAACTTCCTCAGGATCCACAGACAGGCTGACCACGGCAGAGATGCAAAGGGTGGCGGGAGGCCCAGCCCTCCCGCTGTGATTCACAGAGTGCGCGGGTGTGGACGGGGCTCTGGGTAGGTGGAGGGGGCAGAGGAGCAAAGGCGCTGGAGGAGCAGATGGGGTGCGGGCCACGCACGAGGAGGCGAGCCCCTTCCCAGCTCGGGCCCCGCTGCTTCTGCACCTCCTCTCCTACCTGATCTGGTTGTCGCGGAATTTGTTGAGATGCAGCTGGTTGAGGTAAATGGTGCGGGCCGGTGCCTCTAGCTGGTCTCCAACAGACGTGGCCCGGGACATCTCATCCTCTGCCTTCTTGTAGCCCGCAGAAGAACGAACGGGTCCTGCAGAGACAAGGAGCGGGGCAGAAAACAAAGAAGTGAGCCGCAGGCGGGAGGTGGCGGCGGCGAGCGCGGACCAGCGGGGAAAGGATGCTCGGGCGGGCGAGGCTGGGGCCGCCTATGTACCTTGGCTCCCCCTGGAGACGCGGCCACCGCCGCCACCGCGGCAGGCCCCACCCCGCGCGCCCCGCCCCGCCCCGCGGCTGCGGAAAGGCCCCGCCCCGCCTGCCTGCCCTGGACCTGCGGCAGGCCCCACCCAAGAACTGCGGCAGGCCCCGCCCTCCCGAGTGTGCTTCTCCAGCCTCCTCCCCGCCTCCCGGAACGGAGCCGGGAGGGGCGGGGCCCGCGGCTGCGCGAGGAGCCCTGAGGCGGTCAGGGACTGGGGGCTGGGTGGTGGGGCCCAGTGGGACCAGAGGAAAGCGTCTCGGAGGTAAAAGCCAGAAGACACACCCACCTGGCCGAGAGCCACCTTAGTCCCAGGGATGGCGCTGTGGGACTGTGTTTTCTGGGCTTATCCGGTTGTGCTTAGACGCAGAAGCCAACCAACAGCCATCGGAGATGCCCTGCGCGCAGCCATCGCGGAGGGGGCAGTGAACGCACACCTGTGCGCCCCAAGCGGGAAGCCCCACGCCCGCGTGGGAAGGGCGCGCTACTTTTCTCCACCCGCGTGCCTGACCACCCAGTGCAGCAGCTCCAACCCCCCACCCCGCCCCCCGGCCGTGGACCACCGCGTGAGCTGCCATCTCACTGCTCAAGTTAACTGTTTCTGGGGTACCACACAAACCAGCCTGTCTCCCTAAGATCTGATTTCAGTCCCATAGTGAACCTGTCTGGGTACGCTTAGCTCTCCCAGCACCTTACCCTGAGAAGGTGTCGCCTTGGAAAAGGATGTGCGCATTACCAGAACTGCAAAACAGGCACTCACAAAACCATAATCACTTACTTCTCCAGCTACAAGGCAGTGTCCCTCATGGGCGACCCACCTTGAGAAATGTCTTGGGGAGAAGTGCCTGAGATAATGGATCACAGAAGAAAAGTCCTACAAATGTAGCCCTATCTTACTTTTCTTAAATAGGTATCCGATCTGTCATCTTTTCCATCTATCAAAAAATGCATGTTCCATAGTACGTAGAAAATTTACTGGAGAAAACCTTCATTTCCCAGCTACAAATTACATGATTCATTGTCACGAAGAAGATTTGAAAATTAAAGTTTTGGATAAAGCGAGTCTGAAAATTATCCCTAACATATGGGAATGGCAATATGAAATCAGTTGAGAGCAGACTACTATTAGGTAAAGGTTAAGTCCGAAGTAGGCTAAAACTCTCTTCACCCAAGTCCAGTGGACCTGGTGAGTAAAGGTTTCAGAGCTGACCAGTTTGTGAGCACAGGCCAGTTTTCCCCCTGGCCTGTAGTGTGGGTCCATAGCACCCTGGCTGTTCCTCATTGCAGGACCAGCAGGACACCTCTTTATTGCCTCCCTCAGTCTGGGTCCCTCCAGTCCACTGGCCACTGCTGGCCTTCTTATCATCCACAGGCACAGCAGGAAGCAAGACTCCCTACTTGGACACTGGCTGCCCCACCAGCTCTGGTTCCTGGACTTTAATCAGGGATGACTGAAGTTGTTTCCATTTCATTTGTTTTGGTTTTGAATTTTTGTGGTACTTGAGGATGAACCCATGACCTTGCACATGATAGGCAAGTGATCTACACACCAGCCCAGGCTGAGTTTTAAATCATTTGCTAATTTAAGACAGCTGGAGAATATTTTTACAACTAGCTTACATAAAAAGTATTGTTTTACTCTCTGCCACTTACCCCGTTTTGTTTTCCACCACAGCATTCATCATTACTTGACATTACTTATTTATGGTCTGTCTTCCCGCACCCAAGAGCATAAGTTCCAGGTCAGCACAGACAGCAGTGCTTGTTCACTGCAGTGACTTCAGTCCTCACAACAGTGCCTTGCACATAATGGCACTCATATTTTCTGGTGAAATAAATCATTGTTACCCAAGTAGTATACAGGGTGTCTGAATTCCCCAGGCAGAGCTGCAGTGACACCCACAGAAACCCAAAGTATGAAACATGAGTTAGGATAAAATAGTTCACTGCCCAGGCTGAGCTCACTGAGGGCTCTCAACTCCTCTCTGCATGGGTATCACCAAGGGACCTCCCACGATTTTCTAGATCCTGGATCACACCCTCACAGATTCTGTTATCACTTTGTTCTTGATTTTTTAAGATTCAGATGTGATTCAAATGGGCAGCCACAACTGAGAAACACTGAAATCACAAAACAGAAGATCTGTCTCCTCTTCTCATAAACCTTGAATAGTTTAAGGCACAAAGTTATGACCATGGTTACAGCTACTTACCAGAGAGCAACAGATTATAGGACTAAGGGACCAAAAGTGGCCTTGAAGGTATTAGAAGGATCAGAGCTTAGTAGTGACTTTGTGCTTTGGAGTGGGAACAGACATAAAAGCCTTTCAAAGGAAAGAGGAGGACCTTGTGGGTGAGGCAAGAAGAGCTAAAATCTTGGCCAGTAGACAAAGATGAGTCAGGGGCCAATTTAAAAGCCAATCAGTATGTAAGGTCCAGTGTAGGACCTGTGGCCAGAATGTGGATGACAGATGCCAGGTGAAGAAGTTTAAAGGTTATCTGAAGTCACAGACACAGGAGAGCAAACCATTCAGCAGTCAACAGTGAAGGACAGTAACAGCATAAAGTCCTTGTCTACATGATGAGGACAACAGGAAGGAAACTGGTTCTACAGTCCAAAAGCAAGATGATAAAGGCGTGAATGAAATAAAGAATATGAGAAAAGAAAAAACATGTACATGAGAAACATCTCAGAAAAAAACTCTGCAAGACTATTTTTGGGGGGGTTGAGAGGGTAGAGAGATGCTGAATGCATGGTCCACATAAGGGAAGAAAATTAGACAACTAGGGTTTGGGAAAGACTGAAACAAAAAAAGTATCACTGATAGAAATAAAAATGGAAGCAAGAATTTTCCAAACAAGAATTTTAATGTCGGATAAATGAATATTGGGGTGAAAAAAACTGTTGACATAAACAAGTGATAATAGAGAAAGTGAAATAATATCTTCCAAGTAGCTACCATGTCTTACTATATTTCTACAGGGCCAGTCTGGAAATTTATTCTAGGGAGAAACAATTAGTAGTTCCCCCAGCCCCAAGACTCGGGTAACTTTCTTATACCCCAATGGCCTCATCTTAACCTACCTCTGTCTCCCTCATATGTGGACATTAGATCAAGGGCAAACACAACAATGGGATTAGACTATGAGCACATGATAAAAGCGAGAGCACACAAGGGAGGGGTGAGGATAGCTAAGACACCTAAAAAATTAGCTAGCATTTGTTGCCCTTAACGCAGAGAAACTAAAGCAGATACCTTAAATGCAACTGAGGCCAATAGCAAAAGGGGAACAGGTACTAGAGAAAAGGTGAGATCAAAAAGAACTAACCCAGAAGGTGACACCCACGCACAGGAAATCAATGTGAGTCAATACCCTGTATAGCTATCCTTACCTCAACCAGCAAAAACCCTTGTCCCTTCCTGTTATTGCTTATACTCTCTCTACAACAAAATTAGAAATAAGGGCAAAATAGTTTCTGCTGGGTTTTGAGGGGGTGGGGGGGAGAGGGAGGGGGTGGAGTGGGTGATAAGGGAGGGGGTGGGGGCAGGGGGGAGAAATGAACCAAGCCTTGTATGCACATATGAATAATAAAAGAAAAAAAAACCTACCTCTGTACTGGAGAAAACATGAGTACTTTCAAAACAACACAAATTTGTATTGCCTAAGAAAAACATTATACCATATATAGCAAAGTACATTATGATGAAGGTTTCAGATTTGGACTCCTGAGACAAATCCTGAGTTAATGCATTTTGCAAATACCACCAAACAAAACAAGAGTATGTACTTACAACCTCCCCCCTGCTCCCATATAAATAGGCACAGTGTCAGCAGATAGTGGGAGTTCAATAAATATCTATTAGTTGAGAAAGAAACCAAGTGAAGGGGAAGAATTAAGAGAACAAGAGTAGGCAAATAGGCAAGTGCTGAGTTTGCCCCCACAAAGTGGAAATGCAGACAAGAGAGATGATAGCCAAGACCATGAGGGCAGAGATTTGTCTTGCTCAGAGCTCCATCCCCAGCACCCTGATTAATGGCAAACACACCTTAGATAGTCTGTAAGTATATGTACAATGAATAAATAAAAGTGTAACATGGTAGATGCCTTTTGAAGGCACCTATTCATCTACTGAACCAATGACTTCTGCCTTGTCTGGGTATTGAGCCTTTCCCCTCCCATGTACATGCCAGGAAGCCCAGCAGCCAGGTCTGTGCTGTGCAGGCCCATCAACACATCTCAGCTTTTTGGACTGGTGAAGGTTACTCAGTCCAAATTGGGCCTCTATGATCTCCCTTCTAGGGACTAGCAGAGACCATCTCTGAATGTGGCTGACCTATGGGCACATACTCTCCAGGTCTCCAGAAGGCCTCTTCCTCCCACCAAGGGGACCAGGAGGCAGAAGAAGATCCTATGAGATCAAGATGGAGCCTCTGTAGGAAAAGCCACAGAAATAGGCCCAACAGCTTTCTGGATCCATCCAGTCCCCTTCTCCATCCCAGCCTTGTTGGGGGTCTCTGATTTCCATGAGTTGTTCTGATCATTCTATCAGTTACTCCTAACCAGATATCCTAACTAACATAGTAAAGGAGGATACCAAAACCCTATTTTCTCCTGTAAGACAGAAGACAAAATAAAGTAATATAGGTCACCCTGGGGAGTCTATGGCTTAGATGTCTGTGGCACAGGTGTCTTTAGATGCCAGAATCCAGACCCAGAGAGGCTGGATCCCTCAGAGGACAGTCTCCATGGCAACACCTGGGCTGGCTGGCTTGGATGAAACCTAAAAGAGGCTTTAAGGTGTCTGCTAAAAAAATGAGCACTCCTGTCCTCCTCC